AGGCCATCAATGGCCGCAAGTTTGATGTCCACCTCGACGCCGACGAAGCTGTGGCCATGGGCGCCGGATTGTTCGCGGCGAACATGTCTACGACGTTCCGGATGCGCAAATTCGGGGCGTCGGACGCGATGCCGCACGGAATGACGTACTCTGTGTCGCCGAGCGATGATTTCACTTCGGGTGAAATAGAATCGCTCGTGCCGGCGTTCGCCTCCGCACCTCTGCGCCGCCGCGTGCAGCTTCTCAATCGCACGGCGGACGCGACTTTTACCGTAAAACTCGAAGTCTCCGAAGGCACTCCCCTCCCACCGGGCACGGACACCGATCAGGTGATGATCGTGGAGGTGACTGGGGTGAAGGAAGCCATGGCCAAGTACAACGACACCGTCGGTAAGATGAACGTGTACTTTGAGTTCGATGCCCATGGCGTCTTGGACGTCGAGGAGGCGGTTTACGCGGTTGAAATCATCGATTACGTCCCGGAGAAGCCGAAGAAGACGCTCAAGAAGGCGAACGTGACGTCCACAAACTTGACATCAGAGGACGCAAATTCGACGGCGGAAAACGCCGCGGAGAACACCACCGAAGACGTCAAGGAGGAAGAATCCGCCGCCGAGGCGGAAGAACCCGCCGTCAAGGAGAAGGAAACGCCTGAAGAGGAAGCGCCGAAGATGAAAATGCGCCGACGCGTCTTCAAGACTCCGCTTACCGTCAAGGTGTCCGGCTTGGACATGGAGCCAATGACGCAGGCGCAGCTCGGGGCGTCCATCAAGGTTCTCGACGAACTTCGAAAGATTGACGAAGCCAAGCGAGAACAAGAGGCGGCGAAGAGCAACCTCGAGTCGTATATTTACTCCACGCGCGCTAAACTCGACGAGGATGAGATTCAAGCCGTGACGACGGAGGAGCAGCGCGAGGCTCTGAAGGAGGAGCTCATGGAGAAGGAGGATTGGTTGTACATGGACGGTGCGCACGCCAGCGCGGCGGAGTACAAGAAGACGCACGACGATCTGAAGACGAAGGGTGACGCCATCGAGTTCCGCGCGAAAGAGCAGATTCGACGACCGGAGATGATTACCAAGGCGCGGGCGTTCGTAGCGAAGGCGACGCCAGAGATTGAGTCCTGGCCCGAGAAGAAACCGTGGTTGAACGAGACGCACGTCGCCGATTTGCTCGTCGAGGTCAAAGAATTCGAAGCATGGCTCGACGAGAAAGTCGTCGCTCAAGACAAGTTGGCGGTGACGGACGCGCCGTCGCTCGAGTCGGCGGAGATTAAGGTCCGCATGCGTCCGATCGAAACGAAGTTTTCAAAGATGAAGAAAAAGTCGAAGCCGAAGCCTCCGAAGGTTGATCTCAACGCGACGGACGCGAACGCGACGGACGCGAACGCGACGACTGTCGAGGCCGATTCCACTGAGGTCGAATCGAACGCCACCGATGAAGGCGCTAAGGAGGAGTTCACGAACGCTGAGCCGACGATCGACGCCGACGCCGCAACGGAAGCCGAGTCGGTCAAGGATGAGCTGTGAGAACTTACAAAACGTCTGAAGAAGCGAGCGCGTTATCCGACGCGCACGAATTTAAAATTATTATTGCAATAAATCACGATTAACGAGATTCTTTCAACTGGAAAAACACGAGACTAGTCGAGCTTTTTTGTGGTGGCGCGCGTCTCAGCCAGGGCCTGGTCGTTTGGTGCCCCTCGGAACACCGCCGGGTACGCCCACGACTCCTTACCACCTCGAAGCTTGGCCTGATGCGCCCTAAACTCCTTATCCGTGCCAAACATCCAGTCGCACCAGGTGAAGACGCTCGAATACGGCCCCTCAAACGTCTTGTGGTGGAAATCGTGGTGCACAGCGCCGCCCCAGAACGGAATCAGATTGGTCGGGTTCCACGGCACATCGTACCCAGAGTGATCCTCCACTGTCTCGAGGAGACGGAAAAATAACCACACCCACAAGGTTACCATGTGCTTGGCGAAGAACAGCGGGCCGAGCAAGGTACCGATGCCTAAGAAGAAGGTCTCCACCGGATGAGCATACTCCGCCGCAATCCCGAACGGATACTTGTGCTCATGATGAACCTTGTGCACGTACTTGTACACGCGCTTGTGATGCAAGAATCTATGAATCCAGTAAAAATAAAAGTCCTCAATGACGAAGAAGACGGGAATCTGCCACAAGAAATCCCTTGATTTCGGCAGCGCCTCGAGCGCGAGCGAAAATCCAAAGTAAGGCGCCACGAAATAAAACATCATCTGCATCGGCAACTGCACGAACACGTGCGATTTCAACAGCTTCACCACACACTTCATCACCATCTCCGCGCTCGGGCGCTTCTCTCGCTGGATCTTCCACTTTTGGAAGTACTCGAATCGATCCATCGCCAACCACGGCATCCACGCGCCGAAGTACACCAGCTCATGATACGCGAACGTCAGGGGTCCCGCGATCACGAACGGGTGGAATCGCTCCAAGATCTCGCTCCAAACCTTCTCGATCGCTCCGTCGACCCGTCGTTCGACGGACAGCGCGAGGTCCGTAAACGTCGACATAAAATCCGACTTTGAGCCCATGGCAGCCAATCGTGACGTCAGCGTCTCGAACGCGTCGACGCGGGCGACGCCGAGGGCGAGCGCGATCGCGACGACGAGCGCGAACGTCGTTTTCACGCGCTGCCGCATCGTGACGACGCGCGAGGGCGGTCGCACGGCGAGAAGTGCGGATAAGTGGCGGCGGCGCGACACATCGCATCTTGTCACAGAAACGTTCAAATGCCAGAATAGCGTCGCGGCGACGACGAGGAGACGGGCCCACGCGATTCCACGGGCGGCGAGCGGTTGAATTCTAGAAATAAAAAATCTAAGGAAGGTTTGATCGCGTCCTCGTCCCGGTCGGCGTCGATCGCGGCTTCACTTCGCGCGCGCGCCGTCTCCGTTTATCGCTCTGGAGCACACCTCGGAGCACTCCCTCAAACAATACTCGCGACTTCGAAACCCCTCCTTGAACACCACCGGATCTCGACGCAACGACGCGGGTCCCAAACCCGGACCACTCATACCGCTCCCGCGCGCGCACGTGACCACGCACTTACTCACGCACGAGGTGACCTCTTTCTTCTTCGCGCCGCCCGTCAACGCGCTCAGCGACTTCACGCCCTCTCCGCGCGAGCTCGACGCCCCCTCGCTCGAGCGCAACGCGCTCGGAACATCCTCGATGTAGAACTCCGCGCGCGCGTCGTCCGGAAACGTCGGATTGAGCGCGAGCGCGGCGCCGAGAGCGAGCGCGATGACGTTTTGGAACGAATCGTCGCGCGCGCGTCTCCGATGCGTCGCCCTCGAGCGCGCGCGGGCCCGCGCGCGCCCCTCGCGCGATCGAGCGGGATCACGACGCCCCGGAGACGACGACGGGGTCGCCATCGCGGCGCGCGCGGTGACGGGCATCGCGGTATTGTGACGTTTTAACTTCCGAGCGAACCGGACAGCGGCACGCCATGGCGCTCGACGTCCCGATAAGACGCGTCGTCGTGGTCAAACTCGGCGGCGCCGCGATCACGGATAAGCGCTCGAGTCGTAAGATCGATGCGCCGGGGTTACGCGCGTGCGCGAGCGTCGTGAGAGAGGCGACGGCGCGTGGAGAGACTTTGATCGTCGCGCACGGTGCTGGGTCGTTCGGACACGGTGCGCGCTCGCTCGCTCGTTCCGCGCGTCGAGCGCGAGGATGCGCGATGGTATGACGATCTGGGACTGACGACGCGCGTCGACGTTCGCGTGCGCAGCGGAGGCGGCGGCGTGCGGGTGCGCGCGCGGAGGCGATGTAGAAGACGAGACGTTCGCGCGCGGCGTCGAGGCCACGCGCGCGGCGGTTCGAACGCTGAACGGAATCGTGGTCGATGCGCTACGCGAGAACGGTGTGCGGGCGGTGGGGGTGACGCCGAGCGAGGTGGGATGGCACACGCGCGGGAGAGGCGCGGAGGCGGAGGCGTCGACGAGCGGACGCGGCGGCGTGTTCGATTTGTTACGAGACGGTGCGGTTCCGGTGATTCACGGCGACGTCGTGATCGATGACGTGCAGGGAACGTCGGTTTTGAGCGGTGATGACATCGTGGCGTGGTGCGCCCGGTGGGCGATCGAGGATGGATTCGCCGCGCGCGCTCGCGTGGTGTTTCTGAGCGACGTCTGGGGCGTGTACGCGTCGCCGCCTCGATGCGCTCCGATCACCAATCCGAGCGACACTAGCGCGCTTACGATCGCGCCCGGTGAAGATGCCGTGCTCCTTCGGGAGATCGTCGTCGACGGCGACAGCGATGACGGCGACGCGTCGCCCGCGTGGCGGTGCGTCCGCGCGGCGCCGCTCGTCGATCCTCGTCGAGACGCTCCGCTGGACGCCGTCCCTTCCGCCACGTTTAAAACCGCCGACGGCGTCACCGATGTCACGGGTGGGATCGAAGCCAAATTGGGCGCCGCATTGGCGATCGCGCGCGCGCTTCCGGGCGCGTCGCCATCCGTCTTTCTCACCCGCGCCGGCGTCTTGACCGCCGCCGACGACGCGCGCGACCACGCGTTGGACGCCGTCCTCGGTCGCCCCAATCGCACCGACGACTCAAAATTCCCTTTCGTCGGCACCGTCGTTCGCACCGATCGTCAACGCGAATCATCGTAGCCGTTCGCCCGTCCCGACGCCGCGCGCGCGTCGCGACGGATGTCTTCACCACACCCGACGACGCCCATTAAATACGAACCTACCCGCGTTCCGGGCCCACACATAGGCTTACGAGACGTTCAGTATGCGAACGCGCGCGCGCGGCCTCCCGCGCCCTGTCCGCGCCCCGCACACGCGGGAGCCGTCGCCCGCGACGCGCGATGTCGTCCCGCGCCCGCGCGTCGGACGGCCCGAGCGCGGACGCGTCGGCGGACGTCCCGACGGGCCCCGACAGCGAGGACGAGTGCTCGAACGACTCCACGGGAGCGATCTCGCCCGCGAGCGCCGACGCGGGCGCCGACGCGGGGGCGATCGGAGGCTCGAGCGACGCGAGCGACGGCGCGAAGGGCGACTCGAGCGATGGGAAATCGAGCGCGAAAAAAGACGCGTCGGGTGGGCGAAGTGGCAGCCGCGGAGACGCCGTGGCGGGTCAAGGGGATGGCACTTTGAGCGTCACCCCGGACTCGCCCGCGGATTCGGAGTGGCGAGCGAGACGAGGGCCTTTGGACGTCAGCGACGGCGGACCGTGGGCGAGCGAGGACGATGCGGGTGCGTTGTAGATATCGGTCGATATTTCGTGACTTGTGAGCGCGTTTGGGACGAACGCGGGGACGAAAACGCGACGATTCATCGACGATGGGTGGAGGACCTAGGATCTGTCACAGGAGTCGGTTCGATGCGACATCGTTGGGACGTTTGAGCGCGTAAAGAGACTGACGAGACGCGCGAACGGTTTACGAACTCAACGCAGGCCCGCAACCGATGAATATGTACGGGAAATTCACGTGGAAGATAGAAAACTTCAGCGAGATCAGTAAGCGGGAGCTGAGATCGAACGTGTTCGAGGTCGGCGGATACAAGTGGTGCGTGAACGACGTCGCGACATGATGAAATGAGATTGGTGCATCGACGACGGTTATGTGCGATGAAAATGATGAAAATGACGGGACTAACGACATTGAACGTGTTTCGTGACGCCGTAGGTATATTTTGGTCTACCCCCAAGGATGCGATGTGAGCAACCACTTGTCGCTGTTCCTGTGCGTCGCCGATTACGACAAGCTTCTTCCGGGATGGAGTCATTTCGCGCAGTTCACGATCGCGGTCGTTAACAAGGATCCTAAAAAGTCGAAGTATAGCGACACGCTGCATCGCTTCTGCAAGAAAGAGCACGACTGGGGCTGGAAGAAGTTCATGGAGCTCACCAAGGTTCTCGACGGGTTCACCGTTTCGGACACGCTCGTTATCAAGGCGCAGGTTCAGGTGATTCATGAGAAGGTCGCGAGACCGTTCAGATGCTTGGATCCGCAGTACAGGAGAGAACTTGTTCGGGTTTACCTTACGAACGTCGAGGTGCGTACGAAGTTCTGCTTGGAAACATGACGTCGACTCCATCGTGCTGATGAAAACCTTTATCAAGCATTTCTCGTTCTGAGCAATATATTCTGATGAACATCTATCACCCATAGAATCTGAACGATGGCAATCGCCGTTGTGCCCTCGAGAGAGAGAAGCGTCTTGAACGGCTCACGATACTGACCGCGCATTTTTTGTTTCGATTCGCAGGGCATTTGCCGACGATTTTTAGACGAAAAACGCGAAAAGCTGATGACCATGCGTGCCGATAAGGAACAGTGGTCCAACCTCCGTCAGTTCTGGAATTCGCGCGAGGGCAAGGAGAAGGCTGAAATCACGATGGAAAAGGCTGACGTGCTCTTGAAGGGAATCGTCAAGCGCTTCTTCAACGAAAAGGAAGTCACGTCGACGCTCGTCATGGATGCGCTTTACTGCGGCTGCCGCGCTCTGGATATCGCGGACGAAGACCTGGAGACCAAGGCGACCTCAGTTGGCACCTCCGACAAGTGCTCGGTCGCGATGAGCGTGGTGCAAAACAAGGCTGTTTTGACTGGTGACTTCGTGTCCGCACTCGAGCGCGCCGCGGACGGCACTGCTTTCGACACTGACGACGAGGATAAGAAGTCCGTATCGGACGATTTGTCCGCCACTGACGCCGTTGAGCGCGACGAAAAACGCCTAGCTGAGCTTGGCCAGCGTACCATTGAGATGTACGTGCTCTCTCACGTGTTTGTGAATCGCGTGGAGATCGCGTTCCGCGAAGCCGAGGCGCTGATGCGGCAAGAAGCTCTCATTCGGGAGGAGGAAGAAGCCGAACGCCTGGCGCAGGAGCTCGAAGGCGCGAAGAAGAGCAAAAAGCAGAAGCAGAAGGAACGTCAAAGGCAGAAGAAGGCGCTCGAAGATGCCGAGAAGGCTGCGCAAGAGGCTGAAGAGCAACGCATTCGTGAAGAGGCTGAAGCCGCAAAAGAAGCCGAGCGCGCCGCCAAGGCGGCTGCCAAGGCGGCCGCGCTGGCTGAAGAGCGCGCGAAGGAAGAAGCCGAGAGAGCAGTCAAGGCTAAGGCTGAAGCCGAGGCACGCGCCGAGCGCGAGGCGAAGGCGGCGGCGAAGGCTGCCGAGAAGGCGAAGCGCGAAGCCGAGGAGAAGGCCAAGAGAGACATGGAGGAGACGGCAAAGAGGGCGAAGGAGGAAGCGGAGGCGAAAGCCGCGGCCGAGGCCGCGGCGAAGGCGATCCCTGCCCCCAAGCCAGAAAGCCCGTCCACGCCCACTCGCGTCAGGTCGACGACGCAAGTGTCTTCGCCGTCCAAGGTGATCCCTGCGCCGCTCTCCAACGAAGTGAGCACGCTGCGCTCGCGAATCTCTCAACTTGAGCTTCAGCTGGAGGAGAAGACGAACGAGTGTGTGCAGCTCACGAACGATCTGGACAAGGCGAAGGATATCATTTTACAGCTTCGAAGCGAGATGGTTTCCGTCGGCATGTCGTCTCAGAAGGTATCCACGACGCAGCACGGCCTCGGAGACGTCACGCGCACGGCGCAATCGGCCTCGGCCATGCTCGGCGATACCACCAACCTCGTCCGCATGGGTTCGAGCACGAGTCTTTTGTCCAACGGTGGTCCGAATGGCAGCGTCTCTTCGAGCATGCAGCCGGTTTTGGCGAGCGCGAAATCTCAACCTCCGCTTCCACCGGGACCGCCGCCTCCCTCGTCGAGCGACGCCGGCATGCCCCCGCCGCCGCGCGGTCCGCCGCCGCCTGGATCGGTGCGTATGTCCGAACAAGCTCCGGCTTCGCCGCAACATGGAAGCACGAGCGGATTGCCACCCTCTTTCGCCGCCATGGCGGCTCAAGGGTCACAGCGTCCTCCCGAACCTCCGTCTGCGCCGCCCGGAATGAACGGATATGGCGCGCCGCCTGGTATGGGTCAAGTGAACCCACTGGGCACGCCTCCCTCGATGAAGAACATGGCGCCGCCGCCGGGCATGGGACATCCTTCGACCTGGTCTCCAGGCATCCAAGAGGAGTTCCCACACCTTGGCATGATCAGCGACTTGTTGGACTTTGACTAAAGCACGACGTGAACGCCGGCACGCGCGCACCGGTCGCGCGCTCGCGCGCGGGCATCTTAACACTCAGGAGATAGATAGAATCATTCGAGATTCGTGTACACCACGTAGACCGCGTGCTCGCGCGACTTTGTCAATGCGAACGCACTCTCGCTCCTTAATCACAACCAATACACGCGCCAACGGAACCGACGGTAGACGACGACGCGCAATCCGTTGTGATGACCACGCTCGATCTCGGCGCTCGCGCGCGAGCCATCGTCGCCGCTCCGAGCGACGACGCCTCGCACGGTGACGAGCGCGCTTTGCAGTCGAGCACGTTTTACGTCCCGACGAATGCGCTGCGCGAGGCCAACGCCCTTCGCGTGATCACCCTGAGCGCCGACACGCGCTCTCCGACGGTGTCACGCTCGGTTTCGTTGGAGCACAGAGCGTGCGAGGACATCGATGTCGACGCGAGCGGGTCCACGATCGTCGTCGCGTACGAGCACGTGGGGTTGGAGACGCGCAGGACGAGAGGCGCGGCGACGGTGAGCGCGTCCACCGGGACGACGACGGATCTTCGATTAAACCCCGGAATCTCGGCGAGCGAGGAGAGAGAGTTCGAGACGGTGAAGTGCGCGAAATTTAACGCGAACACTGGGGGTTTGGCGACGGTGGATGAGTTTAAGTTTCGGTCGTGGAGTCGGAGGGACGATGGAGCGTTCGCGTGCGCGTCCGCGGGAGAGACGCGATCGGACGGGACGCGATCGGAGGTCATGGGTGGGATGAACACGACGCAGGACGGCGTTGGGACGGGATCGTGGGACCCACACGGTGGGGAATCGTTCGCGTGCGGCGTGGACGCGGACGTGGTGGTGTTCGACGCGCGAAGCGGCGGTCGGGCGCAAACAATCGAGCGGGCGCACGTGCAGCAGACTCGCGACGTTCAACACAACCCGAATCGCCCACACGAGATGATGACGTGCGGTGACGACGGGCTGCTCAAGTTTTGGGACGCGCGCGCGCACGAGCGCGCGCTGAAGGTTGTCTCTGGGCACGAACACTGGATTTGGCGGTGCGCGTACAATCCCGTGTACGACGCCTTGACGCTCACGGCGAGCTCCGACGGCACCACGCGCGTGTGGTGCGACGACGACGCACTTCCGAATGATTCCAAACCATCCAAAGCGCGCCGCGATCGGTCGAGTTCTGTTCGATGCGTCGCCCGGCGGGTCGCGCGCGACTCCGTTTCCGTGCGCGCGTGCGCGTGGAGCTCCGCCGACCCGTGGACCCACGCCTCCGTCGCCGCCGACGGCCTCGTCACCTTCAACGACGTCCCTCGCGAGGAAAAGTACCGCATTCTGCTCTAGAGATGTAGTCCGATTAGCGCGCGCGGCGTCGCGCCGTACTTCAACCGTCGCGCTCTGCAACGACGCCTCAGACCGCGGCGCCTCCGTCGCCGACGTCTCTCCGACGCCCCGCTTCGAATGTCCACGCCCGACGCGCGCGAGTCGCGGCGCTCCCGCGCCGAGATCGTCGCGCGCGTGCGCGCCCTGTACGTCGCGAGAACGGTCGTTTTTCTCTTCGCCCTGACCTCGGTCGCGCGAGCGACCGCGCGGCTCGAGCGTCGCCTGCGCTTCCCTCTCGACGCCGCGAGCGCGCTGGCGTGGACGTTCGTCCTCGAACTCGCCCTCGGCGTCGTCGCGTGGTGGGTGGCGAGTGGGAAGATTTCGAAGGCGCTGGAGGACGCGGAGGACGCGGCGGCGAGCGCGCGGGAACGAAACGTCGAAAAGCAAACGACGCACGCACAGGATGCGGGTGGACTGTGGTTGGCGACGAAAAACGGTGATGTAGATGGGGTGATGTCGATCGTGACGTCGAACCCGGAGACGCTGCGAGAGCGAGGACCGGTGGGGGAGACGCCGACCCACTTGATGATTTTGTACGGAGGCGCGTCTTCGTTGGACGCGTCGAAACAGTTAATGGCAGCGAAATACGTCGGTGAGCGACACCCGTGGACGCTGAACGACGTGTACGTGGGGGAGGAGTACAACGGGGAGTCCACGCTGCACATCGCGGTGGTGAACGAGAACATCGAGCTCGTACGATGGTTGTTGCTGTACACTCCGGATGTGAAGACGTTGCTTGAGGCGAGAGCGATCGGAAAGTTCTTCGCCAAGGGCTCGCCGTGTTACTACGGCGAATTTGCGCTGAGTTTTGCGTCAAGCACGGGTCAGTGCGATCTCATTGACGTGTTGTTGCGAGCTGGAGCGGATCCCGCGGCGCAGGACTCGCACGGGAACACGTGCCTGCACATGGCGGTGATGCACAATCAGCCCGAGGCGTACGATAAGCTGTGCTCGTGGTGGGTGGAACAAGCGAACGAGGCGAGTAAATATGACTTGGAGCGAATGCTAAACGCCGATGGCCTCACACCGCTTTTATTCGCGGCGCGAAGTGGGTTTCGGGATATGTTTGAGTTTTTGATCGAACGAAGCTGCGTGACGGAGTGGTCGTACGGACCGGTTACGTGCAAGCGCATGCCTCTGTATGAGGTGGATACGAGCAATGGTTCGAAAAGCGCATTGAAAGAAATCGTCGATAACGATCACGAGGATCTACTGGAACTGCCGTTGATTCGAGAACTCATTCAGCGAAAATGGGATGTGTACATCGGCAAGTTGTACATCTCGAGCGTGTGGCAGGCCGTGTCGTTCGTGCTAGCGATGACGTTCGTGCACATCATGCCACACAAGGAAGTAGTAAAAGGTGAATTAGAAGGTTTTGGATTGACCGTCGCGCACACGATGAAGACGGCAATTTTAGGAGTGTGCGTGTTTCGGCTCTGGAGCGAGTGTTGCGGAGTACGTCGAGATGTTTGGAGTGGCCAAAGCGCGGTTTCGACGATGTTTTGCGCCACGTACATCGTTTCTGTCGTTGCGCGTTTCCACAACGATGTCGTGGCAGACGCGCTCTTGGCGTCGTCCTTTCTCCTCGCGTGGTTCTACGTGGGCTGTCTCTTTATGGGCTTCCAATCGATTGGACACTTCGTCGTCATGATTCATGAGATAATCATCAACGACGTGCTCAAATTCGGGTTGATCTTGGCCATGTTCCTCATCGCCTTCTCCACCGCCATTTACATCGTCCTTCGCCCACCGACCGAGCGAAGCTTTGAGGATTTCGCCGGGCAGCTCCTGTCGTCCTTCACGTGGCTCGCCGACGGAGGTTTCCAAGAGGACGTCGCCGAGGGCGCGGAGCGCGGAAAACCCCTCGCCGTGCTCCTTCTCGCCTCCTTTACCATCATCGGCTCCATCGTTCTCCTGAACCTTCTCGTCGCGATGATGGGCGACACCTACTCCAACGTATCCCAAAACGCCGTCGTCAAGTGGCGTCTCCAGCGCGCCAAAATCGCCCTCACCCTCGAGCGCGCCATCCCTCCCGGACGACGCGACCGACTCGACCGCGGGGTGTGGATCGACGTCGCCCGCGCGCGCTTCTTACAGGTCCAGCTCGTGAACGGTCTCACCGCCATCCAATCCGGCGCCGAGGCCTAGCCCGCCCCAGAGCCCATCACATGAGGCACGTGTTCTCGAATCTTCTCTCAAAGGTGCCCACTTCACTGCCGACATGCGCTTTCTTCGCCCCGCACACGACCGCGCGCGACGACCGCGCGCGCGATGGGGAGTGATTTTTACGACGTCCTCGGCGTCTCGAGAGCGGACGCGAACGACGCCGAGCGATTGAAAAAGGCGTACAAGCGCGCGGCGCTGAAACATCATCCCGATCGCGCGGGTGGGAGCGATGAGATGTTCAAGAGGATCGGTTTGGCGTACGACACGCTGAGCGATGGGACGAAGCGCGCGGTGTACGATCGATACGGTGAGGATGGATTGAAGGCTGGATTCGTGCCCCCGGAGACGGCGACGCGAGACGCGGGACGCGGGGGGGGTGGCGGCGGATTCGGCGGCGGCGGGTTCGGATCGACGTCGAACGGATCCGCTCGAGGCGGTCAAGGGTTTCACGAGTTCACCGGCGCGGACGCGGAGGCGTTGTTCTCTCGATTGTTCGGCGGTGGTGGTGGTGGCGGCGGTGGGTTCGGTCAAGGCGGATTCGGCGGCGTGGGTGATCCGTTTGGAGGTTTCTCGCCCACCGGCGGCGGACGGAAGCGCGCGAGGCCGGAGTGCGTGATCGAAATCGCGCTCTCGCTCGAGGAGTTGTATCGAGGCGGTCGACGGGAGTTCATGTATAGGAGGAACGTGCGCGCGGGCGATGGATCGATGACAGAGCGCGATGAGCAGATTTCGTTAGATGTCAAGCCCGGTTGGAAGGGCGGTACCAAGCTGACGTTTGATCGCAAGGGCCACGAATCGGCCACGGGCGAAACCGCCGATTTGGTGGTGGTGATCAAGGAGCGTCCACACACGTTTTTGAAGCGTGAGGGCGATGATTTGGTTTACGAAGTTCCCTCGATATCACTCAGAAGCGCTCTCGTGGGATGGAAGTTTAGGTTCGATCACGTCGATGGCGAACAGGTATCGATCGAATTCGAAGAGCCCACGCCTGCTGGTTTCGTTCGCACTGTGCGAGGACGGGGTATGCCGAATCAAAAAACGGGCGCACGCGGTAATCTCATCGTGCGCGTCAAAGCGGTCGACTTCCCCAAGAAGCTAAACGCGCGGCAGAAAAAACTTCTAAAGGAGTGCTTTCCCGCGGGCAAGAGCGCAGCCGCGTGACGTGACCAGCCTTGCGAATTGTATTACCACGATTCATTACACGATATCAGAATCACTTCGTCCACTCACCCATCAGTCGTAGTCCTTCCCTAATCTTTTCCAGTCGATGCATCGGATTTGCGCTCCTCTTCACCTCCGTTCCCGCTCTCTCGACCGCCTCCTCGCAGAGCAAATCCATCGTATCGTCGATTCCGCGCAGGACGGCTTCTATTTGCGATTTCAGTACACGACATCTCTTCACGTCGATCTTCGTCATTTCGTTCTCGTCTGCTTCGCTCGACTTCGTCGTCTTCATTTCGACGATGGGAGTCTGCGTCGAAGCGGTCTCTCGAGATTTCGCGCTCTGACGAACGCGATCGAGCTCTTCCTCGTAATCTTTGAGCAGCTGTTTTGTCCTCGGATTGAGCGTCGGATCGACTTCGTTCGAGATGGTTCTCATGCGACACGACGCCGTGTGCCCTTCGCCGCTGTGCGGAGAGACGTTTTCTTTCCCGCACGAGCCACATACGTGATAACCCGTGCATTCGCCCTTCTTCTGAGAACAAAACGCCTTTGCGCTACCGCCGAGGAGACCCTTTTCAAATTCGCGAACGCCAGCCATCGACTTCATGTAATATAAGAAGCACGGCGCCTTGTTCGCGTCCTGGACAACACCGCACACCGAACTAAGTTTGCATTCGGGTTTATGCTTCCCCCGTCCCTCCTCGCCGCAGTGTCCACAGATGTGGCGCGAGTGGCACCTGTCACCCTTTGCGCACAGCGCCCATCCACCACTGGCGCCGACCTTGAATTTTTGCGAGTCGCCCTCGAGTTTAAAGTAGTCCCCGAGGGAGTGCAGATAATACTTTCGACACAGATCCACGGGTGGAGGCGCGTTGAACACAGCATGCAGGCGACACGTAGGTAAGTGCTCGTTTGTCCCACACTTTCCGCACGATCCACATACGTGTTCGAGTTCGCATTCCTTTCCGCGCGGGCAAAGACTCCAGGAGTGCTTCTCTTGGTTCCATCCGCCTCGCAGCGCTCCACCCGTGTCATCGACGGAGTTTAAGTAATAATCCAGGCACACGCGTAACTCGCCGCGCTTGTGCACGCTGGCGTACAGCGAAGGGCACAGCCCGAATGTGTGACGAGGCGATTCGCAAAGTTGACAAACGTGACGATCGACGCACCCTTTGCAACCGAACGTCTCACCTCGCAAGTTAAATGCGGCGCAAATTTCTTGAGACGATGTTTGCGGCGGCGGGGCATCAATCTCGCGCTCAGTCTCGACGATTCCCAGGCCAACGTCGTCGTCCAAACCGAACTCGTTCGTCACGTTTCGAAGCATTCGCGACCTGTTCAGGAGATCCGCGAGCTCGGCGGGCGTTGCGTCGAGGCCCAAAGACGTGTCGACCTCTACCCTGGAATCACCGCCGTACAAGCCTGATACGTCTTCCACCGGCGCGACGTCCACGTTCTCTTCCAACGCACCCTCCAGCGCGCCGCTCGCAGGCGAGCTCGTCGAGGTGAAGAACGGTTGGAGATCTCTGTCTCTGTTTGCCGCCGCGCGCGTGTCCACGGTTGCTCCAAACGTCGGAGCCAAGCCGGTGAAATCTCCCGCCGTACCGACGCCAGCGGACGCCCCGCCCAGAAGAGCGGCGGAAAAATCATTCATCATACTCTCGATGTAGTCGTCTCGACCGGCGGCGCGCGTCGCGGCGTCAGCCGCCGGCGCGAACGCGGCTGGCGAGAAAAACGACTGCCGCCGTTCGTCACCAAACGTCCCCAACGGAAGAGACGTGCTCGAGCCCGGTGTCCCCCCCGCGCTCGGCGACGGCGTCCCTCGACCCGGCGCGCTCCCTCTCGCCGTCCTCGGAGTCATGATCGTCGACGTTTTCGCCCGCGCGCCCCCGTTCGAGGGACCCACCCGACCCACCGACCCACCATCCACCGCGATCGATCCCGCGTCGTCGCTCCGCACCACTCGCGGACTCACGCCTTTCATGATCCCGCTCAACATCGCCAACGCGTCGCCGCCGCTCGCCGTCGCGTCCCGCGTCGCCCCCGTCGCCGTCTCCCTCTCCCTCTCGCCGCCGTCGTCCGCGCCTCCGTCACCCGCGTCGTCGCCCTCCGTGATCAGCGCGCACACGCGCTCGCCGTTCACCTCCCGAACGATTCGAATCGCCCGCGCCCGGAGCAACTCGCGCTCGACGTCGGCGTCGACGCACACGAATTCATTCGCCGCGAGCGCGACCCCCGGCGACGGCGCGCTCGCCAGCACGCGATCGGGACTTCGCAAACCGGTGAGAATCACCCCGAGTCGTCCGCCCCCGGAGACTCTGGTCTCGATGACGTATCGTTGTCTCTTTTCACTCCCGCCGAGGGCGAGCTTGTGCACGCGGCGGGCGTCCGACATGGGTCCGGCGGTGATGCCGCGTCGTCCTCGACGCGACGCACGACGGGTCGATCGATTCGACGGTCGGGGCGGTCGGTGGGGGGGGGCGGGATCGAGCGGTGGATATCGCGCGCGCGGCGAAGTGCGGGGGCGGGCGGGCGCGGCGCGAGGCGCGGCGGACGACCGAGGCGGATGGAACGTAGAATATTGCATCGATGTCGGGATCATTTCTTCGCGCGCGCGCGGGGTTTGGATTTGGTTGATTTTGATCGCGCCGACGCGGGCTTACGCTTGGCGGTGGCGCGCTTGGGACCGTCGGCGGCGCGCGCGCGTTTCTTTCCGGTGACTGTTTTTTCGGCTCGGTCGCCGTCCGCGTGGGCTTCGTCGGTCATCTCGAACAGTGAACCGACGCCGTAATTTTCAGTCCCTGCGTTCGCCACTGGATCTTCTCGAAGCTGCACGAACTCGCGGTGGACGCTGTCGATCTTAGCGACGTCGCCGTTCACGGCGACGACGACGACGGTGCCCGCGAGCGGAACCACGCGCGCGTTGTACATCAAACCCTTCATATCAACCTTGAGCGACCGCGCGCTCTCGGCGAGCCAACGACCGACGGCGCCAGTATCACCATCAAGATCGACGGCCTCGCCGTTCCCCTCGATCTCGAATAAAACCTTGGACTTCCCTCCCAAGTGCGCCGAGGCGACCAAGTCCACGCGCGTGGACGAAGACGCGCCCGTCGTCGCCGCCTCCATTTTCTCTCGCGTCTCCTCCGTCACCTCGCTCGCCCCCACCTTAACCTCCGTCTTGTTCCCATCGTTTTCATCCTCTTTACTCTCCCGCTTCCGCGCGTCGACGCTCAGTCTCGGCTTTGGGAGCGCTTCGATGTCGTCGCTCGAGCTCGAGCTCGCCATCGCGTCCCCCACCACCCGTTTCAACGGCGATTTGAACCGGTTCATCCACGCCTCCTCGCTCGTCGATGCGTCTTCATCGTTATCGTTGATCACGGTCGGGAGCGTCACCACCGCTCGCTTCCTCGGCGTTCCGTCCGGCCGTTTCGTCTGCGGAATTTCAAATGGGTCAGTCTGGGTGTCTCCGACAGCTCGAATCTTCTCGGACGCCGCGCTCGTTCGTTTCCGACGCCATCGACGCGCGCGACGGCGCACCGGACTCTTCGATTTACGAAGCAACGATTCGACGTCTTTTCGTTCGTCGTCTTCGCTCGAATCGTCGTCGATGACGATCATTCGACGCGCTCGTGCGACGCGCGCGGCGGGGAGTGACGACAGTTCTCGACGCGTGGCGGTCCTCACGCGTCATGCCACGACTCGTGCTCGAGGACGATGCGCGGGTGAATATTTCTCAAGTGCGCGGTGTCGATTTCTACGCCGAAGAGTGCTCGCCGCGTCGTCGAGAGGGTGAAGCGTCGAGCTCAAAATTCACGTTAATCATCCACGGATTGAATTCACACGCTCGAAATCCAAACGTGCGCGCGATGAGCGTCGCGTTGGCGATCAGAGGGACGACGTGCGTGTCGTTCGATCTTCCAGGGCACGGGGAGTGCGCGAGCGGTGATCACGGGGACGTGCGAGGGATTTGGACGGGGCGAGCGAAGACGCTCGAGCGGATCGCGCGCGCGTTGGACGCGAGCGACGCCCCGGAGTCGATCACGATCGTGGGGTCGTCCATGGGTGGAGCCCTGGCGATTTACGCCGCGAACGAGCTGAAAATGGCCGGGACGCGGACGATCGAGCGGGTGGTTTTGATCAATCCGTTGATGCGGATGAAGCTGTATTTACCGGGCGTCGCGCTCGCGGCGTTACGGTTGGCGGCGATCGTCGCGCCCGGGGTGGAGGTGTCATCGAGACCGCAGGATAAGGTGAATGATGACGACGCCCCAGAGGGGACGGCTAAGATGGATTTCGACGACGAGGGACAGAAGCAGTGCGACGCGGACGAGCTGACGTACAAGGGTGGGGTGACGCTTCGCACGGGGGTGGAGCTGTACGCGCTGACGCGTCACAACGCGGGCGCGCGGGCAGAGGATTGCGGAATGGTGCGATTGTCGTTCACCACGCCCGTACTACTCCTCACGGGCGGGCGAGATGAGGTCGTGGATCCCGACGCGGCGACGCAACAGGTCAAGCTCGCCATGAGCGCGGGCGGGAAAGTCGAGCACAAAAAGTTTCCAAACGCTGGGCACTCGCTCACATTGCAGAGTCGCAGAGAGGAGGTGTTCGATCTCGTGGCTGATTGGCGGTGGTTGTAAGTATGTCTTTTCGTTTTGTAATGTACGTAACTCTTATCGTAAAGTCAGCGTGCCTCTGACATCTCATTACGGTGCTAGAATCGTTAGTAGGTTACAAGACACCAGCTCGCTAGTTTTTGAGACTAAACAGTGTACAGTGATCACGCGACGAGCTTGTAAACGCTCAGCGCAACGCCTAGGATGACGCAGATGAGCATGCAATCCACGCAGAACTTTCTCGACGATCGCATCTTTGTCACCGTGTCCTTGAGCCTCGCGTTCGCCGTGCGAATCTCCGCGTTCACGCTATCGAGCTTGTCCTCGATCGCGTCCGTGATCGGCTGTTGCCTACGCATCTCCTCCGTCATCTCTCCTCCGATGTCCTTCAAGACACCCAATCCGCGGGATATGACGTCCAAACCTTGATCCTGCTTCGCCTTGCGCGCCTCGAATTCTTGCCTGAAAGCCTCGCTCGATTCGCTCTGCTCCATGTTCACGAAAGGGTTCGTGCTCGATCCCGGATCGCCCGAGATGTTGATCGTGGCCGCGGGTCCGCGTACCCACCCGCGGGCTTTCGCTTCTGGGGAGGCAAACCGCGCGTGACGCCGTCTGCGACGGCCTCGACGCGCGTCTCAAAATCGTCCACGATTTCCAACATCGCAACCGCGTCCTGCTCCGTCGTCCCCGCCGCCTTCGTCCGCGCAGCTTTCCGAAGTTTTGGAATCTCACCTCGCAAATAATTCTTTCCACGCCGCACCTCCGCATTCAGCGTCGCCACCGCCGCGCGATTACGCTCCGACTTCACCGCCGCCGCCTTTTCCAGCAATTCGTCCAAAATCGTCTCCGCGCCCCCCAACATGGCCGCAAACGCCTCCGTTCCTTTCATCTTCGCGATCTTCGCCTCCACCTGCGCGTGCGTTTCTTGCTTCGGCAGGTACGCCTCGTACCTAGCGCGCAAAACCGCATACGAAGCGTCAGTCGCGCGGTCGTTTTGAACCTCGGCGCGCGTCGAATCGCTCGAGATCTCCTTCGTTTCCCGTCTCCACCCACCGCGCGTCGACACCCCCCCTCCCGTCCGCGCGCGACATCAACGCCTCGACGCACCGCTTCAGTAAAGAGTCCACGCGCGCGAGCATGTCCCCCGCCGACGCCATGACGATCGTTTCCAGAAACGCAACACGTGACGCGTGACGCACGAATGCCCCTCGCGCGCCGCCGTCGACGCGATCGTCCCCCCTCGCGCGCGGTCGCGTCGTCGATCACGTCCGTCGTCGTCGCCCGCGCGCGCGCGAGACCGCGTGCGCGCTCGTCGTCGCGCACTGAAGACGATGTCCGTCGACGCGAATCATTCGAATCATTCGCATCGACACGACACCCGCGCGTCGCGACACCGCGACGCCTCGCCGCGCGCCCGCGCGATCGCGTCGACGCGAACGCGCGTCGCGCCGCGTCGTCATGTCCACCGAACTCTCGTTCACGCCGCATCACGCGCTGGGCGGGGGGATTCTCCTCGGCGTCGCCGTGATCGGAAAACTCGCGCTCACCGGACGCGTGCTCGGCGTCTCCGGCGCGTTTAAGGGTCTGGTGAAGGGCGCGCGAGAGCCCTGGAGACTGGCGTTCGTCGGTGGACTCGTCGCGGCGGGGGCGTGCGCGAGGACGCTGGGCGCGTTGGATGAGAATGTGAGCGCGACGACGCCGAGCGCGGCGCGGGCGGCGATCGCGGGCGCGCTCGTGGGCGTCGGTACCGCCATGGGACGCGGATGCACGAGTGGACACGGGATCGTGGGTAATTCGCGGTTGAGCCCGAGGAGCTTCGCGTACACGCTCGTGTTCATGGCGACGGGGGCGGCGTGCGCGACGGTTTTTCAGACGAATGCCGCGTTGGACGTCGACTCGAAGCATCACGTCTTGGGGCGAGGGACGATCGGTGCCGAGCGTGATGACGTGGAACTTTGGGTGCGGTTGGGTGCCGCCGCGGTGTGCGCTTTCGCGGCGGCGGCGGTGTACATCAAGCGCGCGATCGCGGTGAGTCCGAAGGATGGGAAGGGCGAAGCCGAGGTGAGCGCGAAGAAGAAGCACGCCATCGACGTCGTCGTCGACGGCGCCGCGGGTTTGGTCTTCGGTCTCGGACTCGCGGTGAGCGGAATGATGTCTCCGGCAAAAGTGAGCGCGTTCCTGAGCGTGCTGGAGCCGTCGTGGGATCCGAGTCTGATGTTCGTCATGGGCGGCGCCATGGCGGTGACCATGGCGGGGATCCGCTTCGCCAAGGCGCACACGGGTTTGCACAAACCCACGTGCTCGTATAACAACTTTGACTTCGCGACGAATAAGAACATCGATCGTCCGCTCCTCATCGGCGGCGTTCTCTTCGGCGCGGGTTGGGGCTTGGGAGGAATCTGCCCGGGTCCGGCGATCGTCTCCTCCGTCGCCAATCCATCCGCCGAGTTGGGCGTTTGGATCGCCTCGTTCATCGCCGGCATGTGGGCGCACGAAAACTTCATGTGATCGCGTCTGAACGATCAATCAAACCTCCTCTGACGACCAAGAGTGATGCGTCTTCGTTAATACTTGAATAATGCGCTCGGACGTCCGAGCGCCGTCCACTTTTTGTTTCACGCATCCGAACGCGCGTCCGCACTTCACCGCGCGCGCGAGCATGCCGACCGCGCCTCCGTGACGCGTCGAATCCATGTCCCTGGACGTCCCGACCGCCGTTTTCACGCGCGGCGCATCGATGGTCGTCGCCGCCGCGTCGCGTCCCGCCTCGGACGTCCCGCGCGGGCCCAGAGATTTCCTCTCTGCGCGTCCCGACGGCGCGTACACCGTCGCCGAGGCGCGACGGGCGACTCCGAGCGCACCGTACGTCCTCGACGACGCCCGCGCGCACGTCGAGCGACTCGCGCGCGCGGCGGAGACGCCGAGAGAGGCGACGCGCGAGGCGTGCGCGGACGCGCTTCGCGTCGCCCTCGACGCGTGCGCGGCGCACGACGCGTTCGATGGGTTCGATGCGGTCGTCGTCACCGCGCTCGCGCGCGCCGTGGACGCGAACGCGCGAGGTGAGGTGGTGGTGGATGTTTTGGTGCGCGGCGCTCGGCGCGACGAAAAGACGGAGCGAGACGACGCGGGTTCGGTCGGCGCGTACGTGGACGTCGCGAACGCGCGAACGCGGAGCGCGCGAGAGCCGTGGGACGTGAAATATTCTGGGTGGATTCGCGAGCGGGCGCCGTTTGAGCGTCGATTGGCGGCGTGGAACGCGGCGAATCCAAACGACGCGTGCGTCGAGTGCGTCATGACGCGCGCCGTCGTCGACGCCGACGGCGAAATCGTCGATCACGAACTCTTAGAGGGTCTCACCACGAACTTTGCCGCGGTGTCGAGTTCTATGACGAACGAGCGAACGATCCATCGCGCGTGCGAGAACGTCCTTCGCGGGGTAGCGATGGATCGTCTCGACGCCGCGCTGCGTGCGGCGTCCGCCGCTCGGCGCGCCGCCGACTCCGAGTCCACCGATCCATCACCTCCATCCCCCGTCACCCTCTCCAACGTCCTCTCCGGTGTCTACGACGCCGCCTTCATCACCAACGCCCTCAAGCCCGCCGTTCCGATCGATTACCTCATCATCGATCGCGGCGCCGCCGCGCCGCCGCGCCGCGTCCCGCTCCCGCGCTCCCGCGCGCTCCGCGCCCGCCTCCTCGACGTCCACGTTCCCGCCGCTGTCGCCCATCCCACCGCGCACGCGGACGCGTAACGGCATCTCATCATCCACCGATCCATCGTTTACGTCGTCTCCCATCAATGCGTCTTCTCCCGTCGACGCGCGTGACGCGTTATCCGCATCCGCCTCCACATCTCTGGGCACCGAATCCCCACTCGTCGCCTCGTTGACGATGATGATGATGATGTCTCGCCAAGCGACCTCGCCGACCGCCCGCGCGCGCGCGCATGCGCCCGCACGCGCGCGAACGACGTCGACGCATCGAATGCGCGTGCGTGCGCGCGCGCACGCGGACGCGGCGTCGACCGAGGTGCGCGTGATGTGATGATGTGATGCCGCGCGAGGGCTGACGCGATGGCGACGAATGATGGACGCGTACCGCGACGCGCGTCGCGCGTAGACGGTCGGAAAAGGAGGGAAAAGGAACGGGGAATACTCGGGCGTCGACCGCGCGCGCGATATGGACGATCGAGCGATGATTCGGGGTGGGCGAGGGATGGACGGCGCGGACGATATCCGCGCGGCGGGCGACTGACGGCGGACGCGGCGGCGGGGAGACGCAGGTGAAGCAGTTTTATTATTGCGTCGCGAACGCGGATTTTATGTTGAACGATGAGAACAACGAACACTTTCCGGAGATTTTGCGCGAGCGCAGACGGTTCTTTAAGGAGAAGGGTAAGGAGCAGGATTTTTGGATCGTGCCGAACCCGGCGTTTTTGGACGCCATGCCCGAGGTGAAGAAGAAGATTCGTCAACCGTGCGTCGCGGTGGTGACGACGGATAAGGTGTGGAACGATTTCGTCAAGCTTCGAATGGATAGGGTGTACAAGGGCGGCGTCGAGGGCGCGGTGTGCGATATTTTGAAGAGCGCCGCGCCCGTCGAAGCCGACGCGTTCGAGGCGCCCAAGACGTGGACCGCCCCGTACGCCAAGTACGCCGGCGGATGGTGGCACGTGTTCGAACCGAACGGCGACTTCTAATCGGAAATCTTAGTCAACCGCGTTCCCGGCGACGCGGCGTGTTGGATTTCTTTTAAGAATCATCAAGCAATCACAACCTCTCGCCGCGTCGTCCCGCACACGTCGCCGCGTCGCCCATCGCCATGCGCGCCGTCGACGCGCCCGCGCGCGCCTTCACGTCACCCACGCGCGCGTGCGCGCGACGCCGCGACCGCGCGCGCGGGCGCGTCGCGCCGAAACGCTCGCTCAAAGTCACCGCTGTCGACGTCGACGCTCGAGCGACGATCGCAACCATGTACGATCGTATCAACGCCCGTGACGTCGCCGGCGCGCTCGAGTGCGTCGCCGAGGACGTCGTGTACGAGGATTTTAACTTTCCCGAGCCGTTCGTCGGTAAGGCGGCCGTGAGGGCGCTGTTCGAGGAATCGTGCTCGGGGATACCGGATGACTTGGCGTTCGTCGTCGACGAGTGGACGAGCGGGAGCGGTGCGAGCGTCGGGTGCACGTGGCACGTAGAGATTATGGGTGAAGCGTTCCCGAACGCGCGAGGGTGCTCGCTGTACCGGGTGAACGGTGATGGGAAGCTGACGTACGCGCGGGACGTGGTGGAGTCGCCGGCGAAGCTGGGCGAGGCGTCGTTTTCAATCATACGCGCGGTGGCGCCGCTGGTGAAGAAGCGGATCGCGGCGAAGAAGGGCGTGAAGTTGGAGGAACCGGCTGCGAGCGGTGGCGGCGGCGGTGGCGAGGGTAACGTCGCGGCGAGCGTCGCGTTCGCCCTCGGCGCGGCGGCGTATTGGTACGTGTTGCTCCTGTCCCCGAGCGATAATCCCATTCCGGGGGATCCTGCGTACGCCATCAAGCCAGAGACGCTGCAGGAAGTCATCGCCTCGAGCACGGACTTTTTCTACGTCCTGCCGTTGCTGAATAAGTTCGGGATCGATCTTTTGGGGGGCGCCCCGTACGTCAATCCGGTGTCGCTCGGTTTGTTCAACTTCGCCGAGGCGTTCATCTTCATGCTCTATCCGCTGTATTGCATGGATAAGCGCGGACGGGATCTTCCGGCTCTTAAATTGTGGTCCATTGGAATGTTCCTCACGAATGCCGTTTTGCTGCCGTACATGTCCATTCGAGCGAAGACGCCGGTGAGCGCGAATTGGGCGCCAGACGAGACGGCAAGCGGTTGGGGCGAGACGGAGACGCAAGGCGGCCGAAAAGGATTGATGAGTAAGGTCTTCGGCGGTACCGGTCTCGGCGTTGGGTTCCTGTCGATTTACTGGCTCTTGCTCGAAGATAGCACCGCGGGTGGCTTGGCGGAGCGACTGGCCTACTTTGACGAGCTCATGAAATCGAGTCGCCTTAGCATCGCGTTCATGGTGGATATCGCGCTCGCGGCGGCTTGGCAGGCTTATTTCATGAAATCGATCTCGCAGTCTTCCGGGAAAGACTGCGGAAGTTTGGCGTACATTCCATACTGGGGACTTTGCGTGTGGCTCTTGCAAGATGACTAAATCAGAGTCTTCGATCGGCGCTGTACCGATATCATGTAAAAACAATAGAAATTCATTCTTTACTCGTCGTCGAGTCCACCGATCACAGCTCGGTCTTCTTCTTCTTTCCCTTTCTTTTCTTTTTCTTCTTTTTTGGCGCAGCGGCGGCTCTTTCGGCCTCCTCTTGCGCGCGCCGAGCCGCCTCCGCCTTTGCCTCTTCCTCCGCCTTGGCGGCGAGTTGCTCGCGAGAGAGTGCAGCCTCACCCTCCACCTCTTCGCCCATGATGTCGCTCAGATCGAATTCCTCCTCAATTATCTCCTCCACGACTTCCTCGACCTTTTCTCCACCTTCTACAAGCTTGGGCATCTCTTGAAATCGCCAAGTCTTCACCTTGCCGCTCAAGACATTTGCGCAGAACTCGCGAAGGGGTTCTCGCTCAAACGCACCCTTATGCGTCGCGTATCGCGACGTTCTCGTCGCCAAGATGGCCACCGTGGGGTAGTCCACCGGGTTATTGACGTCAAAGACGCTCGCAAACGTGCGCTGTTTGACCGGATCGACGACGGCGAAGTGGTACGGTTTGCCGTACAGATCCTTTGCCAGGGTGTGCAAAATCATGAGCTGCGACGCGTCGTCATTCTTGATGAATGCGACGACGCAAAGACCACCCTTGGCGGCACACTCCTCATCGAGCGCCGATGGTGTGTCGACGGATTTTGGCATCGGTACCACGGCGTCCTTATCGACGCCTATGACGCGCTTTCGGACTTCGTGGAGCCATGCGTTGACCATCGGCAACGAGAGTTCGCTCAGTGGATACTTCTGGACCGACATGCGCATGTTCTCGTTACTCTCGTCCTCCTGAGTCTCTCTATAAACGACCAAAAGACTCGGCTTGGACGTGATTTGAAATTGCTCCATGAGCGCCTCGTCGTCCTCGGTGATGACGCCAAAGATGAAGTCTTTGTGCACCGCAGAGGCGACGTGAACAATGTCTCGAGATTGTTGGTCGGTTTCTTCCATGAACATGATAACTCTCGGCGCCGTAGACGCGATCCCGAACAGGGATTTATCCATCGTTTTAGCCGTGACGAAGATCGAGTTATCCTGGAGGTTCTCGCGAATGAATTCTTCGAGATCCATGCGCGTGAAACTGTCTCCGTTGGATGGCTTGAAAATCACCGGCTCGCGCGCGTCATCGTCGTCGTCTTCAGCCTTGGGAAACATCACGATTTCTACGCACCGATCGCTGTCATCCTTGAAAGCACCAACTTTCTTCACCAAGGCTGTGGCCTCGTCGTCGTCGTCGTGGACGATGAATTCGCGGAGACCGACAACGGCGACAAATCCGCTCAACTTCTCGGGTACCGCGTCCACGGTTTTCCCGCATCGCTCACCAGCCTTGGTGAACGCAACGATCTGAATCTTCTTGCTCGACAACACTTCGTCGACGAAAGCGGTGGCGGTCACCGGCTTGAGGATCGATCCCGAAGAGCCGTCGTCCTCGGGCGTCTTCTCCGATTGGGATCCGCCGACGGCTATGGTCTCCATCTTCAACTCTACCTCGGGCCCGGCGTGGGTGTTCAGAAACTCCATCACGACCTCGCGCTTCATTGAATCGCTCTCCGGAAATATTGGCGCCGATCCGTCGGCCGGGTACACGCCCAGACGGGGCGCACCACCCTCGGCGCCCGGCAGTGCGGGAGCGTCGGAGCCTTCGTACGCGACCTCCACAAAGCGCATTCGACCCTCGAACGCGTGGGACATCGATTTCAACAGCGCCGACGTCGTGGGTTTGTTCGTTAAAATGACCGCCGTGGGCAATCCCGAGGCGGCACCCGTGCGAATGGACGATGCGTCTCGCAGCGACGTCGCGTTCACCCGCTCCACCAGGTGCGTCGGTAGCGCGCGCTCCGCGAACGTCGCGATCGCTCTCGAACTGATATCCCCCACGCGTCCGCTCGTCGGATCCGCGATCGGAAACGACATCGCCATCTTCGCGCTCCGTCGCGCGTCGTACGGATTCAGCGTCGCCGTCGTCGGATACGCCTCGATGGCCGGTATCGTCGACAATCGCGCCACCCGTCCCAACCGCTCCAGATCGAATCCCTCCGCCGTGACGTCCATCGTTCCGAACCGCACCCCCAACGTCCCGACCGCGCTCTCACTCGCCTTGACGAACTGTCTCGACACCTCCTCGCAGATCGCGCACTTCTCCGCCGATCCCGTGAAGTACACGACCCACGGCTCGCGCGAGCGCAACGCGTCCCGCTCGTACGTCTCCAGGTCCAACCGCACCACCTCCGCGCGCGCGCCCACACCTCGGGCGAGGCCCAGGGACAACGCGAGCGCGAGCGTGCGCGCGAGGCGGTCCCACGTCCCGCGCGTCCGCCGCGTCGCGGCACCGCCCGTCGCCGCCCGTCGCGACGATGATGTTTCCATCGTCTTCGTCATCGGCATCCGCGCACCGCGTCCGCGCCACCGCGTCGACGCCACCGCGTCCGCGCCGGCGGTCGTTCGCGCGCGCGCGGTCGTCGCGCCGTCGTCGTCGCGTCGAGCGGTGTCGCGCGCGGCGGCGTCGACGACTGGGCGATGGACGATGGGGTGCGAACACCCGCGTGTGACTATACCCTCCGAGACTGTTCGCCCACACACACCCCGACCACCGCCCGACGATCCCCGGCGCGCGCGCTCGAGTTGGCCATTCCGTGAGTCCTGACTCGACCACCGAGAGACTCCAGACCGATCGCGCGCGCGACCGACGCGCGCGCGCGCGGCACAGCACGCCCATCGCCCGATGTCCGCCCTCACGTCCTCCACGTTCGTCACCAAGTCCGTCGCCGCGACGGCGACGAAGAGCTCCCGGGCGCGACGCGGCGCGCTCGTCGTCATGAACAACTCGAGCGGGCCGAAGCGGGTGCGTGCGATCGCGAGGGATGGGGGACGGGGATCGTCGATCGCGGGACGACGATCGCGTCGCGTCGCGCGGGCGACGACGGGCGCGAGCGTGTGACGGGGGGAAACGTTGGATGGAATTTTTATCGATCGAACGCGTGCGGCGCGGCGGCGATCGGGCGACCGCGCGGCGGCGTGGATGCGATCGATCGAGCGCGCCGCGGCGGACGCGTATCGGGCGCGCGCGGGGCGTATCCGACGCGACGACTGACCTCTGGCGCGCCCGCGGGCGATCGATCGCAGGGCACGAAGGCGGCGCCGGCGCAACGCTCCGTCGGGTACAAGGGGTCCACCGATGCGGGATCCGCGCCGAAGACGTACGTGCGAGCGCGACGCGTCGCGAACGACTGAATCGTGGGCGTATCTGCCTTATCTCGTTGGGATAATGAACCAAGGCTTGGCGGACGTCGGCGAAGACGGCGGCGTTCGACGTGATGTCGTGACGGGAGAACGTTCACGGTGATGCGCGAAGGTGATGACTGACGTGTTGTGTGATGCGGCGTAAACGCAGGCGCTCCGGAAAGTCTGGCTACGTTTACAAGCTCGGCTTGAAGAACGGCAAGGCGAACGTCGACGAGTACTCCCCGATCTGGACGCCGCAAGATTTCAAGTCCGACGGTGACAAGTACGAGGGTAACCTGACGTACTGGGCCATCACTTTGGCCGGTATCATCGGTACGGGTGCGCTCGCGATCATCCTCACGTCTCAGCTTTAAGCGCGACGACGAGTGAGTTCAAACGGGCGCGCGCGGGCTGGGCGCGAGACGATCTCGCGCGCGCAGCCGCGTCGACGCCCTTGGTAGTTGGCGACGCAAGTAGAAGAAGCGAAGGATGACGACCGTTATGTTGTAATCGCATTACGAGAAACGTCTTCTCGAATTCGTACCGCGGAAATTATCGACGATAGCGACGCGCAAAGTGCCCGGGTGGTTGCTACTATGAAAGATTTCAACAATGCAAAGCGGAGCTCCCACGCCTCGTCGTCCTCTCTACCTCCGCATCGTCGCGCTGAAAATGCGTTGCTAATATTTTTTTTGGTGTTTTTGGAGTATTTGGGATGTGCGATCGAGCGAACGTCGATTCCGGGTTGCGCTCGCGCGTTCCCGACTTTGGCGCTCGCCGTCGCGTGATGTCTGTTTGTTTGTCTTTTTCGGTGTTATTCCGATCCCTTGAGCATGGAGGGATCGATCGCTCCGATCATTCCACCCATGCCGTCGCCAGCGAACTGCTTCATCGCTTGACGCTGTTCCTCAATGTCGACCGTTTGCTCTTGGTTTTCGAGGTCAGCGCGCGCCTTTTCGCGCTCCTCCTCGAGAGCCTTCGCTTCCGCTTCCTTGGCGGCGATTTCCGCAGCTCGCTTCGCCTCCTCGGCGGCTTTCTTTTCGGCTTCGATTCGTTCTTGCTCAGCCTTCGCCTGCGCGGCGTCTTCCTGGCGAGACTTATCAAGTTGTTGCTTTTGCTGAGCGGCCGCTTCGAACTCACTCCACAGCTCATCCGGAATGGCGTCCGCCGTCACGACCGGCGCGGGAGACGGAGCGTCGGAGCTCGCGAGGTTTTGCCAACCGGACGCGTTTTGTACTTCGACCGCCGCCTTGGAGGTGTTTTGCTTGATTCCGGGCGTGTCTTTCACTCCCAAGTTGGTGGACTGATCCACGGCGCCCGCACCGGCGCCGGTGGGAACGGCGGCTGTGCCCGTCTTGGGGTTGCTGCCCGCACCTTCGGCGCTGTCCATGCTCGATGTGTCCGAATCAGAATCGTCTGAGTCGTCCGTGTCGGAATCATCCGCCACCTTTTTCGCCGGTTTGGCGTGAACACCCTTCTGTTTATCAACGACTTCCTTGTAGCTTCCACCGGTCTCTTGCACTTGCTTGAGCGTGTCTTCAACCGCGGCAAGGTCACGGGCCGCCTGAGCCTCACGCATCTTCGCCTCAAGAAGTTGCTCAGCGGCGTTCAGTTTGCGCTTCTTCGGTCGAAGGACGCCGCGGACGTACTTGTCGAGCTTCCACAGAGTCTCCGAATCCAACTCCTCAATGTTGATTTCGATTTCATCGTCATCCGCCTGGCCCAAGCCCTTACGTTGCTCGCTGACGATCTGAATGACGCGACCTTGCTTTTCCTCCGGAAGTTCTTGCAATAACATCGTGAGTTCGTGCTTTTCATCGAATGACATGTCCCGCTTGGGCAGAGCCACCTCAGCACGAGCCGCGCGCTTGATTTCTTTTCGCGCTCGGCTCTCCTCCTTGAACTCTCTGTACACGTCTTCGTCCATTCGTGCGTCATCGAAGTCGAAGTCCGGATCTTCATCCGGATCTCTCGCTCGTTTCGCTCCTGCAGAGCTGCGCGAACGCGACTTCGGTCGCGGGATGGGCTCGTCGTCGTCATCAAAATCGTCATCCTTGTACATGGCCTCTTGCTTGGCGCGCTTGAGTTCCTCGATCTCGCGTCGCATATTTTCGAGCTGCTCGCGCGCTTCTTGCACAGCCACCGCTTCGACACTGATCGGAGTCGTCGGTGTGTTGCGGATATCGATTTCTTCTTGAGCGCGAATGGTTTGTTCGGAAGCGGTCCAGTCGTCGAGACCACTCTGCAACCAGGCAGCTTCAAATCCTTGGTGCACAGTCTCTCCCATGATGCCGGCATCGGACTGAGATCCGTTGTAAAGAGCGCAGTTTGAGAAAATCAAACGCATGTCGGCGCAGAAATCTTCAGGACCGACGTACTTCCTCTCATCGAGCTTCCTCTTCACCGTGCCCAAGTCCATCGGATTCTTGACAATTTGGGGATAGTCAGGGATGCCTTGTCGCACCGGATCGACCGGGAAGAGGAAAATCTTGTGATACCTATGCTTCTTCGTCAAATTCAGCACCTCACGGCATCGTCTAACCATCTCCTTGCGGCGAGCTTCGCGGTCTTGTTCGATTTCGTACTCGCGCTGCAGTCGCTTCGTGGTGACTGGTCTACCATCCTTCAACTTCTTGTAACCGACGCCGTTCGCGGCCACGGCCGATTTCTTGGATTTGGATCCACCGCCGTATCCACCGTAGGAGGCGTATGGGTCGTACATTTCCGCGGACTTGATCGATCGAGCCGAAGCTGGGCGCGGCGGCGGCAAACGAGCAAACTCAACCTGCTTCTTCGTCTCGATGCTCGCCACTTGGTTCTTCGCCTCCTCAATCTGCTGAAGGCGCTTGAGCAACTCTTCCTTCTGACGTCGCTTTTGCTCCTTACGCTGGACTCGACGCAGCTCACGCTCCTCCTCCGTGAGTTCCTCATCCGGCTTCTCCGGAACTTCTGGAAGTTTCGCCGAGTCGTCGCCCGGCGCCGTAAACATCCCATCCCCGTCTTCGTCCGCAAAAATCCCACCGCCGTCCGCCTTGGCCGAAGGCTTACGCACGCGTTTCTTACCCTCTTGCCAAGTTGCCTCGAACGGCGCGTAATCGCCGGACGGCATGTATGCGTACCCCTTCGGCGCCTTGATCGACTGGTTCAGCGTGAGCAAGATCTCGCCCCGCTCCGCCCTAACCGCCTTCTCCGGCCACGACCCCGTCGTCGCCGCCGCCACCCCATTCATCGCGACATCACTCACCGCCATCGCCGTCGCCACGTCCGCCATCGTCGCCGATTCACTCGAAATCACCACCCGCGTATCGCGCGCCGCGTCTCTCGACTTCGCGTCGTCGCCTCGGAATTGAAAAGATCTCGACTCAAACGCCTCGACTTCGCCGACTTCTCCTATAATTTCGCGTCAAAACATCGCACACGTCAGTACCCCCCGACCTCGATCGCGATCGCCCCGCGCCGTCCCGCACCGACGCGCGCGCGCGCGCGAATGCATCGATGAATGCTTTGGAAAATTATACCCTCGAGACGCGCGGCGTCGCCCGTCCCGCCCCGTCCACCCCCCTCGGTCCGCCGTCGCCCCACGCCGCGCTCGACGCCATCGCGCACCACCCCCTGCGCTCGGTCGCGATCGCAACCGTCGTCGCGCGCGCGCGCCGGACCCCCCGCGCGTTGGATTTCCACCCCACGCCGCGATGACGTCCATCGGCCCGTGGACGATCGC